GATACAATGAGAGCCAGAATGGTGTAGTGCTTTGAGAATTGGACTATGACTATGGAGACCAGGGCTTGAATCCCTGCTCAGCCATGGAAACCCACAGAAAAGGGTGACCTTGGGCAAGTCACACTCTCTCAGTCTCAGAGGAAGGCAAAAATAAGCCTCCTCTGAACAAATGTTGCCTTAGGGTCACCGTAAGTCAGAACAACTTGAAGGTACACAACAGCAATATGGGTACAATTCATTAATCAGATTGCTGTGGGGATAGGAAATCATGTGCCTCTTCAGATGTTGTTGAATTGCAAGTATCAGCAACCAGCATACCCAACCAATGAAGAATGTTGGGAGTTCTTCCTCTTTCTGTCACACTGGTCTCAAGGGTAAATAATGCTCAAAAGAAGAATGTAAGGTCTTTTTATTTGTTTGCATGAAAACATTCCATTTGTCTCCTGCTAAGTCTTAATCTAAGCAGCATTATTATACAGCCTAAGGAGCTGCATCTTATTGTGTGGCAACTACTTCTACCAGTCGTTTATATAGCACCATCAATGCTTACAGCACTTTCCAGAATCAATGGAAAGAGAGGGATCCTTGTTCCAAAGGGTTTACTGCACAACTTGTACACTATAGCAGCCTGGTCCAGCAGAGTGAGAGACTCAACAGACAGACATTTGGATAAGGGCACTTTGGTGTATTCTCATGTATAACTGTGCCTCTCTCCTACTTGACGGTATAGAGATGACCACCATAAGCAGCAGTAACTTTGCTCTCCTCTCTTGGCTTTTCCCCATACCAGTGCTTTATCCACATGGCTCTATTATTACCCAGTGGCCTCTTCTACTCCAGTCACTTGTAATTTCTCCTAAAGTCTCCTCAATCCAGACATGCAAGCACTTTGGCTTTTGCAGCCTTGGATATCACCAAACAAGATAACTTCCAACTTTCTTAATGTCCTTTAATACTAACCCACAGCACCTCTGCTGATCATATAGACAGATTTTGACAGCAGGGGAAGAGAAGCCAGCCAGCAGTGCTCAGCAACTATCTCAGTGGCTGCCCACAGAAAGGATTTTTAAAAAGATCTGATGTAGAGGAACATTCTAATAAAATTCCTATCTCCACTAACCCTCCCCGGTACAGATCTATTCAAGGCAAAGAGCACGATAAACTCTCTGCCCCAAGTCTTCACTAAAGTGACAGTTCACAAAAGAATACAAGATCGCTCAGTGACATTAAAAATGTCAGTGAGAGGCCAATGTGGTTTGGCAGAGAGGAAGCATTTTCAGGCAGAGGAAAGTAAAACTTCTGACAACACAATCCAGCTTTAAGCAGGGTTTGCTGTCATTGCTGCTGATTTCTGCCCATCCTAAGGTCTTGTATTTTATCCAGCTCCTGAATCCATATATCAGGCTGCTGTTAACCTTTATATGGGAGGAGGGGAGAGAATGGGTTTTCTTCCACCTCTGTACTAATTCATCCAGAAAAGGCTAAGAATACCTTACTATTCCTAGAGCTATGGCTTTCCTTTCTTACAGACACATGATAACCTACTGGAAGTAACATGGATCTGACAGCTAAGTGTAGGAACAAGGGTATCTCCCTTTGCTACAACAGTCACTAGTACAAGGACACTCAAGGTTACAAGGCACAAATCAGGTTCCTGTCTGTATTAGCTTAGAAACAGAAGACAATAAAGACAAGAAATACAGGTGGCCTAGCTTTAACTAAAAGCAGAATTTCCCAACAAAATCCAGTTGAAACAGGAGCAGTCACAAGAGTATTGGGAATATTGTTTTGTACGTTATCTCCCTGCTCATAGTAACTATGCATAAATATCTTCTATTCTATATTATCTATGCCTCCCTACAGAAATTAGTGTAAAACTCCAGATAGCTGCCCAACTTAAGCACTCACAAAACCCATAACACCCTCTAACAAGGTACCCACATACACATCTGAATTAAGCCATGTAATAGTTCCAAAATTAGTTACATGACTGTAGCCAAACACATGGATAGTCAATATGCTTAACCAGACCCTACCACCAAGCATTCTGCATCTATTTCGTATCCTTTTAACAAGCCAAGATTCAGCTCATCAGAAGCCAAAGAAGCCACAGTTTATTTCCCCTAATGATGGTGGTTCTCCTTTCTTCCCATCAGGTCTGTTAATCCAGCTGCTGTCTCAAACACATTGGCATCAGATACAGAATGGCATGGCTTTGCCATATCACCAGTTCACCATGGAGGGAGTGTCCATGTTTGATGCCATGTTCTGCAGCTAATAAATAATGGTAAGAGATCTCTTTCCTCTTTCAACATGTGCAAAATCAAACAGTCTCAAAGGTTACCTCCCATTTCTCAAAGACAGCTTCAACTAGACATGCCCCACTGAGATTTGCTGCTATTATTTCTCAGTCCTTTCCTCCAAATCCTCCTGAACAAAAGACTCTCTCACTGCAAGACTTCTGTCTGCATCCCATGGGATTTTTTTTATTGAATTTGGTAGGAGCCCCAGAAGGTAACTCATTAGCAACACAGTGTTCTCTGTTGGACACTCAAGACACTCAGCACTGGCTTTAAAGGAAATCTCTCCACATACTCTTGTCTTTTGTGGATTCCCAGAGGGATACTAATCTAATAAAACAAATAAAGTGTAACATTAGGAACCCAACTCCAGCAACTACCCAACATCAAGGAGCAAGGGTGCTGGGGGTCTTTTATGTTTCAGAATTTTTAAGCCTGAACCTAAGAACACACTCTTTCCTCCTGGCAATCTGGAAAATGTGAAGGCTGTGAACACAGTCAAATCCTGTTCTCCCCATACCCTGCAGAGCAAGTAAGCTTCTATTTCTTTCTGACATAGTCTAACATGAGTGACCACACTTTATAAGGAAGAGTATGTAGTTTCTGAGTGATGATAACCCCTTCTGTATATAAGTCCAGATCTCTACTCATTCTTTGTCCTGACCATTTCTGCAACACTGAAACATCATGACTTCTCATCAGACATCTGCTCTATGCCCTGAAAGAAACATAAAATTTCCCTCTGTCTGTATGTCAAAATGGATTACACAAAATAAAAGCCAGCTTTCTAATGGGCTGAACCTGATAGCCCAAAATAATGGCCAAAAGACAGAACATATTGTCCCAATGGCCAGGGGTACTAAACTGCCAAAGGTTTATGCCAGCTGATATCAAACATCATCACACAAAGCAGATTTGACTTTTCTGTATGTCTATCAATCAGCTGGTTATATCACTGCTACCCACTCACCAGAAGTTTAGTGAACTTCAAATGGCGATCATTAATGGTCGCTGAACTGCACAACGCCCCAATATGCTTTCAGGTTACATTTGCAAAAGCCCGGCAATAAGCCAAGAGATTTGCTCTGACAGCAGAGAATGAAGGAAACCCTTGTCAAGCTTCAGGAGAAACATGCGGCTAGCCTCTCCCTTGTTATATTTCTGCCCTACCCTGATTTGACAGAACAGATCATGTTAATTTTTGTTCTGTTATTGTTTGTAATGTCCCTTATTCTCAGTTCTCAAAAACGGGTATAATAAAATAGAAGGAAATTATGGGTAGATTTCCACTAGCAAGTTTCTATCTAACAAGTAAAACTGCTAAATTCAGTGGCACTCCAATGCCTTAACATGAAGCAGATGGAACTTAAAAAGTCATGACATTGTTATGTAGTGTACAACTTTTTCTTTCTTTCCTGCACCATCAGTTTCAACTTTTTAACTGCCTCCTTATGAAAACCCAGGGTTGGTTGGAAGATTTCTCTATAAATAACTCCCATGCCTGCCAGAGGGGCTCTCTTAAAAAATGCAAGGTGCCTGGGTATTCCCTCCATGAGGAATAGGAGGCATCCATGTCTCAATGATTATAGTCACATTACTGAGAGAGGTGGGAAATATATGTTGTTATTTTTTATGAAGAGTAAATAAGCAAGGGGTCTTAAGAAGACTTTATTTTCCATATCCTCTCCCCCAGGAATTTCAGAGCTGAGGAACAGCTGGCTAATATTCACCAGGGGTAGGGGGCTTAGAAATGGTGGGAGCAGAGAGCAGGCCTGGCTATACTCCAGGTGACCCAGCCTTTCTCAGAGAGATGCTGAGTTATTATGCATAGAGGTGCTGCGCGAGGGTGGCCACAATGGGATTCTCCTCAGCTGCAGACCATATTCCATCAAGTACAGTAAGACTCTATTAGGAGAGATACAATAGGAACTTCGCTTCACCCAGCCTCTGAGAAAATAACTCCTCATTTCAATGCAAAACAGCAATGCTTATTAAATATCTCCTTGAAGGAAGAGAGGAAGGGAGAATGAGAGAAGGATGAGGAAATAGAAGAGACAACGGTGGGAGTGGTGGGGGGCTGGGGAAGATTTAAAATGAAAATACCTTTTTGAGATTAATCCACTGTTTGAAGTAATCAGCAACTGGAAGCCCTAAGTATTGGCATTGTCCAGGTAACCTGTAAAAGAGGAAAGAGTGCAAATTAGAGCAGTCTGACAAAACAAAGTTAGCTTTATTAAACACTTCTGGTTCTGAGAAAGGGGAAATAATAAAATGCTCCTATAGCTCCAGTCTGCATTTCAGAAGGATCCCAGGCATTTGACAGAGATCGAACAGTGACACTCAGCCCAAACACAAGACCAGGGATGGGAAACCTGTGACCTTCAGATGTTTGATTCCAATTCACATCAGCCCAAGCCATTTGAGCCAAGGATTAGGGATGGTGGGTCCTCTAATCCAGGAAGACTAAATTGTAGACTCTGATCTAGAGGGTCAGAAGTTCCCCATCTTTGCCCTAGACTTGAATGTACACTATAAACAAGAACTGTTGTATGCCCAGTATCTCATCTCCAATCGGAGATTGTTTAATACAGAGGCATTTTAAAAGAAAAAGAATGCCTACATAGCATCATCCTAGGTAGGTGATCAATGTCATTCAATGGTACATAGTTCTCTTCTCTTCCAACAAGTAGATCACATAGAGCCAAACTTGTTGTAGTGGTTTGAGCATTAGACTATAACCCTGGAGACCAGGGTTTGAATCCCTGCATTGCCATGGAAACTCACTGTGTGACCTTGGGCACATCACACTCTCTTAGCCTCAAGGGAAGGCAAAGACAAACCTCCTCTGAACAAATTTCACCAAGAAAACCTCATGATACGTTCATCTTAAGGTCGCCATAAGTCAGAAACGATTTGAAGGCACACAACAAGAACAAGGCATCATTTTTTTCAAAAAAAACAGGCCACCAAACACAACAGAAATGGATGGAAAACAGTCACTGAGGAAATGAGTACTGAAAAGAAGACAGATGATAAGGGCACATAATGAAGACAATGAAATATAATGCAGATGCTTAAAAAATATGATGAAGATGATTTAAACAACTGTCAGGGCAAAAACTGGGCAAAAATATCAGTTTTATTCCCCAGATGTTGCTATCATGGTAGACAAAATGGAAGTGAAGGAATTGACAGAAGCTTGCACTGAATATGTACGCTAGAGGAGCAAGGCTTTCACTAGAGCTCTAAAATGGACAGGTAAAGTGTGGAGCATGGGCAGCATGTAGCCCCAGGAGACATTTTTGTAAGCCCCAGGGCTCTAAATTTATTTTGCCCAAAATGATCTCTAGGAAGTGTAGAGTGTAAAAATGATTTCTAGGAAGAGTTTGGAGCCCCATTGGACATGCCACCTTGGGGTCAAAATGACATTTTGCTAAACTTTTCCAAAAAACAAAAACAAAATCCATTTTTCCTCAGAATACCTGAAAATGGCCTCTAGGGGCCCAGGAAAACATATACCTTCATGTTCTATAGAAGAGGGTACTTGTGGGCAAAACAATCCTTTTTTGTTTTGTTTTGTTTTTGTTTTGCAGGAGCTGGTGTGGTGGGGCTGTGGCCCTCTTAAGTTCTCCTAGGGGGCTAATGCAGCCACCCTGTCTTCCAGAGTTGCCCACCCCTGCTCTAGAAGGTTCTGACCAACTCTGCACAGGGGCAAAACAACCTGTATATGTGACCCGTGGATACCATGAAGAAGAACTATGGCCTCTTACTAGACTTTAGCTCCATACATACAAAGAATGTTTGTTACCACTTCCTTTTGTTCAAACCTTACTTTTTAGTTTCCCCAACCACTAACCGTCAGGAAGCTAAATTCTCGGATAATCTGAACATCAGCATCTGTCAACTTCAAATATCAGGACCATGAATCTTCACATTAATGTATGAACTCTCAGGGATTGAAAACAAAACATAAAAAAATGAAATATTTACTAGTACTGGGGACTGTATAACTTTTTTACAGGGCAACATACCTGTGTAAGCACTTCTAATGAGGGGACCAGCAATTTTTTTTAACAGGCTGAGGACTGGTACCATATTTGTGCCCATTGGGTACAACTATTTACTTTTTAAGCATGCTCATCTTGGCCCAGTAACCAATAGTTAGCAGAGTAGCATTGCTCTAAAAAATAATATTTCCTTTTCCCTATATCACAGTTTCCTCACTTTAATACAACCTACATGAATTACCTGAGGTGTCACAGTTATTATGACATCTCTCAGTATATATTTTATTACTTACAATGTAGAACTCCATTACACAGGGGGATCCTTTCTTGACAAATGCAAAATATTCTCTAAAATAAGTTGCAGACATTTTGACACTATGCAGAAATGAACTGTCATTAACATATTTTAAAAAAAAAAAATCTGCACCACAAAAGCATCTCCATCAAACAGAGAAAAAAGGTGAATGAGGAGGGAAAGAAATGAGGGGGCAAGGAAAATAACCATGACATGGAGAACAGAGAGCAAGAATGGAGTAAAAGCAGGAAACGGTTAAGGGAAATGTGAGGTCATATAACAAGAGGTGAAGCCAAAGGCAACCAATGAAATGCACCTAGTTTTAAGCAGTACACACAAGTGTAACGTAGCATTTCAACAGATAGGCTGCTGACACACAGCAGAATTAATGCAGTTCCGATGCCGCTTTAACTGTCGTGGCTCCATCTATGGAATCCTGGGATCTGTAGTTTGTAGTGGCACAAAGCTCTCTGACAAAGAAGGCTAAATACCTCATTATTGTAGTATTATAGCATTACTGTTTTGATTTTAATGTTTGTAATTTTAATCTCAGTACTGTTTAATTCTTTTTTTTAAGGGGAGGAGGATAATGTATATATTTTGTATCATTTTAATTGTTGTACACCACTTTGATTGTTTTTACAAAAAGAGGGATATAAATAAAAGTTGTATTTATTTTATTTATTAAAAAACTGCAAGGACCAGAATTCCACAGTGGTGTCAAACTGCATTAATTCTGCAGTGTAGATGCAGGCCTAGTTCCTTATTGTTTTTTCCCTCCAATTATCCCCATCCCAGTCCCGTAGAGAATACGGATTGCAAATGACCCCTCTGTTTGAATCATAGAATCATAGAATCATAGAATCATAGAGTTGAAAGAGACCACAAGGGCCATCCAGTCCAACCCCCTGCCATGCAGGAACTCCCAATCAAAGCATCTTATATTTGGCCGTTATAAATGACGTAAAAGGAAGAATAAGGAATTAGACAGACAATTGATCTCAACCACTGCCATTCAAAAGACACAAAAACAATACACAGTGTTTTCAGAAGATCATCTCAGGTAGAAGAGTCATTTGAAGCTATTCTTTTCAGGCAAATATGCAGAATGTATCTACGAGGCAATCTTTCCAAATTTAAGTAAGAGAAAAGTTTAAACATCTATACAGTTATTCACAAATTATGTTAGTGGCCCAGTGTTTGCAGCTGGATCCAAAGATACCAAGTTTACAAGATCATCACACAAGCAGATTGTTGGAATAAAGCACAAGCTTCACTGCTAAGATGCAAGTTCTGAATACCCAGAAATATACTTAGGAGGCGGAACACTAACGGGGGTAGGCAAACTGTCCCCTTTAAGGGCCGAGGGACTTCAGCTCCCAGAATCCCAGACTATTGGCCAACATGGCTGAGGCTTCTGGGAGCTGAAGTCCCTCGGCCCTTAAAGGGGACAGTTTGCCTACCCCTGCATAACAATTAGAAGGAAAAAACACAAATACGCTGGCAAAAGGGGGCAGAACACTGAAGAACAGGACCTCCAACTGTAAGAACCTGGATCTATCAGCAGTCATATACACTCTCAGCACCTCCACCTTGCCTTTTACTATTGGAGGGGCAAAGAATGGGCATTGGGGCCTTTATTTTGGAAATTAGATTGATTTGTCCCCAATCAGTTTGATTGATATGGGGTAGTTAACAGGTCGTATGCTTATTAATGCTTTGCTAAAGATTTTTAGAGATGTTTTGAACACTGGGTTGGGTATGAATGAGGCTAACTTAGGACTGACCAAAAATTAATTAAATAAGTGATTAATAGATCCATTTACACATGGTAATTACTGCAATCCAAGCAATTGGATATGCAAATTAGGCATGCACTTTGCACCCAGCACTTTGTTGCAAACTATTTTCTGTGAGTGGAGGCTCTACAAAGAAGGCACAAAATGGGATTGAGCTGGGCAAGGTTTCTTAGTGTCATTAATACTGCATCTGGGGAGAAGAACTCCACTATAATGTCAGTTTTCAGAAAGCAAAAGACCTCACTGTTATCCTCTTGCAAGGATTTTCGCAAGTTCAGGTAGGGAGACAGTGACACTGGTTCATGTGGTGATGGGAAAAAGAAAGGGGCCTTTGCAGACTGCCAGAAATAGTGCACATTAAATTGAGGCACTGCCCTGGCTCAGTGCTATGGAATCATGGGAACTGTATTTTATTGTGGCACCAGAGCTCTCTGACAGAGAAGGCTCAATGTCTCAGAAAAAAATGCAATTCCCATGATTCCCTAGCACTGAGCCATGTCAGTGCCTCAATTTAAAGTGCACTATTTCTGGCAGTCTGCAAAGGCCCTAAGAAGCAGGTGAAATATGTACTGCCATGACTGCCAGATTTTCTAAAACCTGGCTTCTCCCCTTAATGTAATTAATAGATATACATGGTAAATGTGCATTTACTTCACATTTATATACCTACCAGTTTTGTTGGATTAACCATCTTCCTTGAACATTGATTGTATTCCCCCACCCAAACTCAATGATGTGGAAACAAAACCATCACACCATCCCAAGGCAGATCTCAGTAACATCTTCCAGTGTACATATACTGTATTTGTACATATTGTACCCCACCTTGAGCCTGGAGCAGAGTCAGGCAAGAAATGAAAAATTGTTGTTGCTGTTTTACATGAACATAACATCTCCAGGGCAAACTGTTGCCAAATATATACCAGGATTCAAATTAGCCTCATCTTAAAGGAGACAGGAGACCTGTACTCCTACTGCCATAATAATCATCCTCCAATAAAAGAATCAATAGATCATGGACTCAGCAACCTGTTGACTCCTAAAATGATTCATCTTGATCTAGAACACTTGGAAATAGAACTCCTGAAAGCATCAAGTGAGAGGCCTGTTCCCAAGCAGACTAGCGTTAGCACAAAAGGGGGTCCCTGGAAGTCAAAATGAGAGGGAAGTTCTCATGACACAGAGATAAAAGAAATGGACTCTCCCAAGGATCTGTGCTCTTTAATTTGTTCATAAATGACCTGGGTTGAGCACTGAGGTGGTGAAGAGCACATCAAATTATTATATGCAGTAAAAACAAAAAGGGATTGCAAAGGACTTCAAAATTACTTCTCCAAACTGAAAAAATGGGAAATACAACAGTTCATGCAGGTCAATGTAAGAAAATGTGAAGTGAGGCATACTGAAGCACACACACACACACACACACACCCATTTCACATGTACACTGGTAGAGTTTGACCTAGGGAACAAATGTTGGGACTGTGGTAGAGGCTCAACAACAACAAAATCTAAATCATTGACTGATTATGAGGCAGCTAACAGCAAAAGGATTGCATAAAACTACCATTATCACAGTGCTTTAAGACATATCTAGGTTGGAACCACATTTGGATTACTGCGTACCATTTCAGTTGCCACCTCTTAGAAAAAATATTGCAGAGATGGAAAG